CGAAGCCCGTGAGCAGCCTCCCGACCAACAGCATCCAGATCTCATAGGCACTGGCCATGAAGAAGTATCCGATGACGGAAGGGACGGCGGAGAACATGATGCTCAGCTTGCGCCCCAGGCGGTCGTTGAAATACATGGTGCACAGACCCCCTGCAGCTACTCCTAAGGTGAAGATGGACTGGAACATGGAAAGAGATGGGGAAGGTCCACAAAGAAGGTCACAGGACCACAGCAGCAGTTACAGACAACCTGATGAAGTTCCCAAGGAAGCCTAACACACAACACGTGGCGCGGCTTGTCCAGAAACACGCCACACAGGCTCTGAAAGTGGCTGCTGAGTCACAGAGAAAGGCTGTAACTCCCCAGATGTTGCAATGGGAACTACACTCCCGCTGGTTCCAATGAGTGTGGCCAGAGGGTGAAGGATGCTGGGGTTTGTAATCCGTCCCCATTCCTGTCCTGTGTCAAGCAAGAACGGAATTCACAAGTGGCTGATCTCAAAAGGGATTGACTCTGGACGCACATACTCCTGGCTGGCAAAATAACATCTACAAAGGTGGCTGAGATACGACAAGCAGGAGAAACTGCAGACCGCCACAGATGTGTGTGTATTATGTAGATTTCTCATCTATGTCACTTTGTCATCCTTTGGCAAATAGGACTGACACCCCTTCCTCCTTCTTTGTTCCGCTCCAGGTTGGTTTTCTTCACCATCGTTGTTCTGGGTTGGTCATTTTTCTGTGTTTTTTGCACTGATTTCTGTCCTTAAATGTTTTTAACAATTGTAAACCACCCAGAGTTGCTGAGAACTGGGCGGCATATAGATTTAATAAATTATTATTATTTATATTATGTTTACAGATAATATGCACGTGGCAGTCAACATTTTCTTACGTCTGCCGTATCTCAACCCGCTTGGATTTTACTACTGTGAAAGTAAAGGAGGTGTGCAATTCCCTAAAGTTTAAATTGGGAGATCAGAGAGACATAGAACTGTAGAGTTGGAAGAGTCCAACCCTCTCCAAGGTGCAGGATAACCAATTGCACCCTCCACGAGAAATAGTTGTTCTCCTTTTAAAAAGAAGATTTAAAAATCTTTGGAGAACTCTCAAAGAGGACAAAACCCTTATCATACTTCCCCAACCTTGGGAACTTCTGGAACCGTGGATTCAACTCCCAGAACACCCCAGATGGCACGGCCATTGCTGAGAATTCTGGGAGTTGAAGTCCACATACTTGGATATTGCTAAGGTTGGGAAACACTGCCTTAGATGCAGGGGAGGGAGGGTTAAAACCCAGAAGCTGAGCACTTGATGAAGATGGGTCAAGGCCAATCAAGTTGGCCAAATCTGATGCCACCGCACTGGGTCCACATGACCCAATAAACTGCAAACCTCAGTTAAGAGTGCTATGATGATGTCTGCTTGTTCATCTCGGCGTGGTGTGCGAATGCAGCCAGAGCATTTGCCAGTCCAGACCACTTACCCCAAACCAGGAAGCGGTAGCCTGTGTTAGTTGCAAGTTAGGGACTGGAGATTTCACCAAAGCTGGGATGACGGGCGAGGTGTACACTAAAGCGAAGCCGAAATTGAAATTCCCCAGCACGGCAGCAAAGCTGGCAAGGAGGACACGCTGGTTTCTAAGCGTCCTAGGAAAAGAAGAGGAAGAACAGGGACCGGCGTGAGATCCATCAGAATTGCTGAAGGCAACCCGTGAATTAGAGAGGGAGACATCTTTCAAGCCAGAGAGAGGACTCTGTTGGGCAAGAGCATTTCAGGGCACCCGCAGATTTCTTTTCCTTCTGCAAAAGCCGGCACAGGGTGTTTGCCTGTCGCAAGCTGAGTGAAAGGATGTAAAAGGGAAGCAGTCATTTTGAGGGATGGACAGAAGAAAGAAAGTTGAGAAATACAGCTTTCTATCTTAGATAAAACTGAGCAAACCTCTGCGATTTAAAAAGTCTTCTTTGAACCGAGATCCACTTTTGAAGACACATCATGTCATTTTCCGGCCAACTTAATTGCCTTTTCCTTGGATGTTTTTCCAGCTTCTCAGTCTACAACCCGGGATCCTCTCGTGGTCTCCCATAGTTTAATTTAACCAAATCCAGTGGTTTCTCCACACGCAGCAGGTTGCAGAAAAGAAATGACCTGGTCCATATCATTCGTTATAAAACAGCGAAGGCAAAAAAGGAGGAAAGAACAGGGTAAGAAAAGCCAGACCCTAGAACAGTGGATGAAGCCGCTTTTCAGTTGATGAGGACTACAAACTTGAGCCAAAGGTTTTGTGAAGCAAGCATGTCAAAGAGCCTACCTCCATCAGCTGAATTCAGGCTTCAAAACACGCCAGGTGTTCGAGGGAAATGGAAACGGTACCTGTAATATTCCTTTTCCACTTGCCGGGGATCCTTCTGTCCCAAAGACTCATAATCTTCTACCGGCCCCCTGCTTAAAAGGGGCCTTGTGATGTTAGCCTCCAGCGTGGCTGGCCGGGTGGGATCCCCCGCAAGAGAAAAAGAGAGTCCCAGGGAGCAGATGGAGCCAGGCAGCCACTCAGGGTTTCGTCCTGCGGGGAGCACAGGTTGCTCTGGAACTGAGCCCCGGGAAGCGGCAGACGAAGTGAAAGCGAAAAGAGGCCAAGATGTGCCAACGTGGGAAAAAACGGGTGAAAAGAGGAAGCCAGGAAGAGTGAGGAAACCGGGTGTGAAGCAAGATAACGGAGGAGGAAGAGGCGTCCGTAAGACCGCTGGCCCAGAGCTTCTGCTCCTCGCTTCGTTCCCCCAGCGGACGGGAAAGCGCGCTCTGGAGCTCTCCTTTTCCCCTGCGAAATCCAGCGCGCCATCTCTTCCCTTGGCGCCAACCGCCTCCAGGACGCTGCTCCTGGGCTGAGATAGAACCTCCACCTTCAGAGGCACCTTCCCTTGGAGAGCCGCTTGGTGTGGAGCAACGCCAGCCGAAGGCTGCTTTGGGAATTTCCCCCCGGGATTCCTAGCCCTGTCTGTTAAAGGGACACCACAGATCCCCATATTCTCCCCGCTATCGAGCTGGCCACGATTGGAAACAGGAGGCTGGGGAAATACTTGACGGAGAACTGGAGTCCCAATCCTCCGATCCCTCTTGGCTTCTCGCCCAGCATCTGCTCTAACATCCTCCAACCCACGTTGTACTGAAATAACAGAACAGCATTTCTATTCCTTTAAGGGCGGCTGGGCGATGCATGGAGAAGCCCCATCTTCGCCCCAGCAAAGACTTAGGAGATTCCTTCTGTAAAAGCCCCATGTTTTGCAGAGATGTAAGAAATAGGTTGCAAACGCTCTGCTCTCAGTGAGGTTCAGCATCTCAAGACAGATGAAGCTGTGCGAAACAAACCAGACAAACTTGTCCAAAATAGATGTTTCGGCTTTGGCAAGGTTCGTGTGAGTTAGAGAAACCCTCAACCCTCTTTGTTTAGATGCACTGAACACTGTGCTGATGACAAATCCCAACATCTGCGGTGGTGTATCAGTCACACTCTTCTAGTATTCAGATAATACTAGAGATCAGGGGAAACATCAGTGTGAACTTATCTAATCTGGCATTTCCAACGCAGTGCAGAACCGGAAGCTTAACTGTTGCTTGTAAGTTGTCTGCATGTCAGGCAAAGTTGCAAGTGAAAGGAATTTTTTTTTCGGTTTTAGCACTTCTTCTCTTCTAATGAAGCCCTTTTGCTTTTGAAAACATGCTTGTGCCAAGGGGAGAATGGCAGGTAAGGAATCAGAGTTAGCAAGAGAAAGTATCCATCTAAAACCGATAACATTTCATTTTAGCGCTGTACGCAAGTGTAGCAGAATGCCAAAATGTATAAAAAGTTTCTGAACTCTGTTCAGGGCACGCTCTGCCAGGAGAGCAACGTCCATCCGGCTGGCCATATACAAAACCTCTTGATGAGAAATCAGTCCTGCTTGGAGTCTTCCCTAACCTGCATATATTTTCACCTAAAAGAAGTTAAACCTGGCAACGTTTGGAGAAGGATATAGCAAATACCTGCAAGGACTTAAAAAAAACATTTTTTTTCTAGCTCAACAAACTGAATGAGAGAGACTTCTAAAAGTGGGACGAACCATTCTGTAGAATTAAAAAAAATCGCATGCTCTTTTTAAAATCTTTTTCTTGATCCCAGAAAGGTTCTCTCTCAGTTGTGGGTGTCGGAATCTCTCCTCCCTCCCCAGCAGTATATCTACCTGTGCTTCTTAATCATTGCATCGAAGATCTTAACTAATGTAGTTTTTCCAATCAGCTATTACTTACCGGTGAGGTTGCCATTATTAAAAATGTAGGGATCCTCTCCTCTTTTACATTGGGCTCGTTTCTTTTTTATTTTAAAAAGCTCCCATTATTCTTCCCTCCCTGCCACTGTAGGATCCTCCTCCTTGACCAAGCATGTTCCCCACCAAGAAGCCAATTCAGAGCCTTGGGTTTTGCTCACCCCCTTGGGAATTTCTGGGCAGAAATTCCGCTTGCCTTCTAAAACCTTCCGCAGTTGCAAGAAGTTAGACATTTTTATTTTTTTTCCCCTTTACCTTTTCTGTGTTGTGTGGTCCATCTCTTGCCAAACTTCCTGTGTTAAATTCTTTAAAGGTGCGGGAATTCTAGAGAAAAACTTGCCAGCCCCGTCTGCCTGTCTCACTGTAGGATACACTGTTGGGGTTACCACCTTTCTTAAAAAAAGAAAAGAAACAATGTCTGGTTTCTTTTCTGCATCCTGAGCAACAGGTGGTTGCATTTAACACCCTGCACTCACTGCAGGTGGCAGCCTATCATGGTGGAAACCAGAAAAACTAAGCAGGTTTGGTACTTGGATGAGAGACCACTAGGAGATCTCAGATTTAGGTTAGTAGGGGAAACGTCCTGGAAAAGGCAGTGGAAAACCAGTCCCATGTAATCTAGAGGGACACATCCATGAAGTCACCAGGAACTGAGTGGCCTTGAAGGCAACCCTAATTATTGTATCCCAAAGCAGGAGATGTTAATGATATAAGGAGTAACGGCACTTTAGAAGAAGGGAGAAATGTGCTGTTGCTTACGCAACTGTGAAAACCTTTACCTGGATGCAGGTGAGAGGTCCGTGGGTCACATGCTTGCTAGTAAGATGTTGGAGTAAGCATGGCCTCCGAAACAGCGTTTTTTAAGCAGGCAGCCTGCGATACAAATATTTGCTTCTCTGAAGAAAAACTTCTTCATACTGAGCTGAACTTCCTCGTTCATTGTCCTTGAAGCCTCTGGAGAAGCAGCTGCGAAGGAAAATTGAGGGAGTCTCATGCCTTGAAGATAGGTGGTGGGAGCGGGCGAAGGAATTTATTTTATTTGAGGCATATCCTGTTTTTTTTTCCTTCCTTACTCCAGTGAGGATTCAGGGCAGCTGCTACTTTAAAAAAGAAAACACCAACAGACCGTCCAATAAGATTCAATTGTTAGCAATTAAAAACCAAGCAAAAAAGAGGCAGCTTCACTGAGTTCTTTAAATGCCCAGAGGGTGATAGGCAGCTCTGGTCCCTTGGTGATGCCCTGATGTGAGAAAGCAGTTGCAGTGAGATGTTGCATATGACTTACAGCTTTACCTGCAAAGGAGGACCTGAGTTAAGACTTCATGGCACACAGTAACATATTCAAATACCTGTGTGTCGTGAGGACCTGGGTGAAGACTTCACAGTGCATTGTAGTTTATATCTATATCTAGCTATGCTATATATGGGGGGGAGAGAGAGAGGGAGGGAGGGAGGGAGGGGGGACCTGATTGAAGACTTCATAGTGCATAGCAATCTATATCTATACCTATGTCATATATATATAAAAAATAAAAACCTGAGTGAAAATTTCATGGTGGTAGTAACTAACTTACATTTTTTAAATTTATACACACACACACACACACACACACATATTACAGACCTCAGTGAAGACTTCACAGGGTGCAGTAACGTAACTTTAAATGTCACACACACAACACTCACAAACATATATACATACATACATACATATTATAGACCTGAGTGAAGACTTCACTCAGTGCACAGTAATCTATATGAGGACCTGAGTTAAGACTTCATGATGGTAGCAACTTACATTTTATCTATCTATCTATCTATCTATCTATCTATCTATCTATCTTGGACCTCAGTGAAGAGCTTTTCTCTCTAAATGTCAGACAGACACAAAGAGACAGAGACATAATGGACCTGAGTGAAGACTTCACAGTGGACACTAATCTGTATCTGTATCTCTATTTGAAGACCTGAGTGAAAACTCCACAGTGCACCGTAATTTACATCTATATATCCCTATCTGTCTAAACTATACATGAGGACCTGAGTGAAGACTTCATGGTGGGAGCAATTTACATTTTGAGAGAGAGAGAGAGAGAGAGAGAGACCTCACTGTGCTTAGAGCCGGCACAAGGCCGCAGCTTGCTTGCAGAAGCTAAGCAGGTTCGGGTTTGATGCCATTTTCGATGGGGAACCCAAGCGGATTTCTCTCTCCAGTGTATTGAATTTGGGGGTGAGGGTGGGGACAGAGCAGGAGATGTTGATGAAAACCCCAGGACCTTCTATTCATGCCTGCTCAGAAGTAAAGACAGATGGCTCTGTAGGACTCAGGTTTAAAGTTGCAGTTTAAATGTTGTGGACTCTTGTCCGCACTTAGCCTGGCACCACTCTGATCAACAAACCTGAAAGGGAGAGGCAGGCAGTAAGCTGGGACATCTGAGTAAATTTTCCAGTTCTTGAAGTTCTACTTAACTTTAAGGCCAAGTTAAACTTCACCCTTGGTCCCTGATGTTCTCTGAGCTTGGCAGTTTCCCTGTTCTTGGGGACGGGAGGTCCTGCTGAAGTCCCCCAAACAAAGTAATCCTTACTCATTCAGGCAGCCAGTGTGGGTTTTTAAAAAATCCATCATGCAATCAAGAAAGCTAATCCTGCCAGGAAAAAAATAGCACAGAAACTCTCAAGGCTGCTGCAATGGAGCAGTCTATGTTCTGCAAGTTGACAATTAGTTCCTCAGGGACACACACACACACATATATGACACAAACTTATTCAGGAAGTCCCTGTGCATTGTTTCATATGGTATCATTTAACACAGCTTTGTTGAATGTTTGTGGGCTTCGAGAATTCAACAAAGCTCTGTTAAATGATACCATATGAAACAATGAAGCCCACAAACATTTAATCCTATTGTGTAATCCTGTTGCGTTCTTTTATTCTCCTTCTACTAAATTGGAGTGGAAGGGGTTGATCAGGAGAAATCACTGGGGCTTCACTCCTGCAAAGCTGGAAAAGAGGAGAGGGTGGTAGAACGGCACTAATCAGCAAGACTTTTACAGTATTGGCCTACCTGCCAAGGAAACGGTGCATAAAGTAATTGCAGTTGATGTCTGCTTAGGAAATGTTGATTAATCTTCCAGATGCCCCAAGACTCGTTCTTTGGCTGCAAGAAACTGCTACTGGATAATGTTATTTTCTCTCCTTGGCTTAATAGGAGTCAGATACCAGCAGAACTTTGCAAACAGAGGGTGGCTCAGGAAATGTTGGCGTGCTCAGCTGACCGTAAGTAACCATTGTCCACTTACTGATGCTCGCCCACAGTTCCCTTGTGGAATTCACTGCCACAAGAGGTCATGCGGTCTGAATGCACGAACCTGTTTTTGTCTCAATAGGGCAAATATCCCCTTACGATGTGCTGTATATCATTATTTCTGGTCTTCCGCCTGTTGAGAATAGGTGGTTATGCGTGTGCACAGTTTGACTTGTTATATAAAGTATGGAGTCACATCCCGCAACCAGAAAGCTAGCATGGCAGGGAACAATTCTAGACTAGCCCATTCCTTGAAGGGTTAGTTATCTAACTTGCAGGGAGCTTTCTGAAAGGGTTCTACAGGGACGGGTCAGCATGGCGGTCCTTCCTCTCGATTCAGAATGCAGCCATTTCAAGGATCTCATCCTGCTTTTGTTTTTCAAGCTTTTGATAGCTGTATTGTTGTGGTTTTCCTTCCTCTGTGCTAGAAAATGGAGAGACGCAAGAAGGGCAAAGGGATGACGTGGGTTACATGGACAACAGGAGCTTTCCAGAAGTGTGTTGTGGAGCTAGGAAGCGTGCCGACGACCAGGCTGAGGAGAAGTCAGTCCAGTCTGGATGTTCGGAAAGTCCATCCTGGGAGCCCCTGGAATCTGACTGCCTCCCCTCTATTTTCCTGGCAGTTTTTCTGGTCCTCATATTTGTCTCTATTTCAGTGCTCCTACTTTGTCACCAGACTGTCCACTTTCCCTTGAAGGACCACAAGGCCTGGAGCCCCAACAGGGTTCGCCTCCTTTTCCCCAACCAGCCAGAATCAACCTGGATGACGTTCCAGCGATATGTGTGCAACCCATTGGGAAAGTCTCATCTGGAGGAGCTTTGGATCCTGGTTGGAACTGGCCCCGGAGATGCAAGCAAGACCCTTCTCTGCTTCACGAAAGTGATGCTCTCCTTACTGACTCGGCAAAAATCCATAGAAGTTCAATTTCTGGACCCGACCAGTGCTTGGCTTCCTCAGATGGGGTCTTTTGAAAATAGGACCTGGGTGATCTCTAGTGTGAAGGTTCTTGTGGGGCAAAGAAATCTCCCAAGTGGGTTGGTGGTGTCATTGCAAAGTGCCCTGAATGGAAAAGGGGAGGTCACTAAGACCACTTTTGCCCTTGTGTTGAACGGGGTGGAGCAGATCCCGGAAAAGTTCCTGCTCCAAAGATTGACCCCTTCATTGATATCTGGAATTTTGAGCAGTGTCCACTTGAATACCGATAGGCGACCGAATAAACTGATGACTGACAAGGGGAACTTTCCTGTCCTCTTCATCACATCTGAGCAATATTTGGAAGGTGGGTTTGTTTGCTAAAGAAGGCTTATGTTACATGCCATCCTTCTGGAGAAAGGTGTTTTCTAACCACTTTGGGACAGGTGGAATAACAGGGTTGCAACAACAGGGAACCAGGGAGGTAGGGTGTCAGCTACATTTATTTGGGGGGCATTTGGGGAATGAAAATGAGAAAGCACCTTTTGCTGTGATTTATGAAAGAAGTGTTGGAACATACAGGCTAGGGAGAGGAAATAAAGATCTGCAAGAAGAAATCCAGATTAAATATTTCCAGTGGGCCAAAGTATTTTCTTATTAGGTTTCTTTGTCATGAAGATCTGCCCAAGGAGAATTATTCTAGAACATTTCAGAGGTGGCCAGTTCTGTAGGAACAGCATACCCCAGACGTTACTGCGTCCTTGGAAAGGATGAATAGGGACCGCTTGGATAGATGATGTCAAAGAGGATCCAGGATGGAAATAACTGTAGAAGGAGAAGCCTCTGTACTGTTGTCGGTGTGTACATAAGTGTGTATGGTGATTGTATCCTTTGTGTGCTGAATTCATCATCCAGCCTTTCCCAACCATTGCAGTCCAGATGCGAATAAGTTCTAGAATCCTATATTTATGATGGACCCAAGTAGGGCTACAACTGTACTTAAAAACTACCTCATTAAAATGATAGAAAACAACTGGAAAACCAGGACTGGAGTATGGGACTGTTTGGTGTGTGTGTTTTTATTTTAGCTGAGCCCCAAGATCTTCCAATAGATACCCAGCATTTTAAAAGGTTGAGCCTCCTGTTTATCGTTCTCAACACAAGCACACATTTATTAACATGGGTTAGGCTCTGGGGAAGGTGAGGTAATGGGATGTGGGAAGGACCTTGGGAGACAGGAGGAAGAGCCACAGACTAGGCAATGGGCAGATAAGAGGCAGCTGAGCCCGCAGAAGGAAAAAGGGGGTGGGAAGTATCTCAGTTTCTTGGTTTCTTGGACTGTAAAGGCGAGGGGGGGAGAGATTCTTTATGACTTGTAAGATTCTGTTAATGTAATTTTTGAGCTCTTGGGTGCTTCTTGTCTGGACTACCTCACAGGGCTGACAGGTGATGAGTTCTAGTTTAGCCACTCCAGTTTCCAGAGGAATGACTGAGGAAGAAATGCTACATTCCTGGGATTGGTGAACACTCCTTTAGACATGGCTATTAGCTACAGAAACCTTTCCATCTCCTCCTAGCCTGTGAAGCCACGAGGACACCAAAGAGAAGAGAAATCTCACCATGCAAGGGGTTGCTCACGCTTTGCAAAACAGCAAGAGTTTGGTTTGCTACCTGGGCCAAGAGCCCACAGTGTGTTTCTAGCCCTTCTTGAGGCCACCTTAGCTCTGGAAGGAGGTTGTGATGGAGCTCCCAGCTAGAAGAGATTTCGGCAACCAAGATCCCCCCTTGACTGCCGAGAGAGGCTGCCGGAAACAGTAATTTGCCGACGGCTGGGGCTGTTTGTTCTCTGGTGGAAATGCAAATGGGGAGACCCCAGAAGAGTTACAGACTAAAGAACAGGGCAAGGCTGTCCTTCTTGGTGGCTCTGCCCAGTGGTGGTTAGGTTGATAAGAGCGCAGCATTCTCCGTGAAAGCAAGCGGGCTGCACTCTTCCAAGGGGGGACCTCTGCTCATCCTTGAGGAAGACAATGCCAGCCGCTGAAAGCGGAGACCAGAGTCTCCATAGCAGCCTTTGAGAAGCCTGCTGCCTTCCAGTCTCTTTGTCTCCTTGGATTCTGGGGGTAAACAACAGCTGCCGCCCGATCTTGCAGCGCCGAATACCCAGCCTTAGACGAGCCCTCTGGGACCCGCAAGCGAATGAGGACCTGGGCGTGGAGGGGGGCATCTTTTTTCTCATCCACGGATGGCCCTGCCCTGCTTGGTCCACCCTGGAGAAGCTCCCCCCGGGGCCACCAGCCCCCTGAACCTTCACGCCCTGGTTTGAACACCAAGATTGACGGAGGTGCAAGAATGGGGAGGATACAGTTGGCAAGGTTGGCTGGGTATTTTCTGGCAAGGGGGTGAAGGGGCTGGGTCTCTGCACGGTGAGCAAGAAGGGAGGTGTCTCCAGGTTCTCACGTCCTGCTTCCATATTAAGGGGGGGTTGTTGAGACAGCCTCCGCTAGAGTCAAGTCACCGATCAAGATTCGTGGCTAGGTTGGGGCAGGCATTCTGGAAACCATGAGTGCCAGTTTTAATCACAAGCAAGAAATAATTTAGGGAAGGCGCCTGATGGATCTTGGCCACTTTTCCCTTCTCCCAGGTGGGGGCCATGGCAGTTTTGATGGTAGACAGGCAGGAAGAAAAGAGAGAATGAAGGGTGCAAGGGGATATCGCAGGAGCAGCCCAGAAACATTTTCTACCCCAAGAGATCTGTGTTGGAAATCTAATAAAGAGGGTGGCTTGCTAAAAAAGCAGGTAAGAGACCATCGCCCACAGATTCTGGGTTCCAGTGGTGACCCTAACAAATGTCCAAGATTTGGAAAACTGCTGGCAGTCAAACCCAGCTCGAAATACGTGATTAGACCAACCCATCGCCTGGCCTGTCTTTAAGGCTGCTTCCAGAGTCCCCTGGTGTTTAACGGTGGAGAATTTTGTACCTGTTCAGAGAAACTCTGCTCTATCATTTTGGTGGGCATCACAGGGACTGAGAAACTAGTCCCATCTGGACTTCCACAAGCCTTGTCTTGGGGCACGAGCCACTCCTATCTGTGGAGACACGCTGTCAGTTTCCAGATGCCTCCAATGTGTCATTGATGCCTGGAGTGGGCTTGGGATAAGGTTAAGAAAAGGAGGCTGTGTATTCAACACAACAGATTGCAATCGAGTGAACAAGAAATGGACAAAGGAGGGAAACACCATTTCTAAGGCCCTGAGCAAATTGGGGGAAGTAAGGGCGTCCATTTATGTCCGTGTCACAAGGGCTAGAAACTTTAATCTTTTGTTTTTTTTAATGCACTTTTGCAACAAGCCCAATTCCTCCAGAGTGCTCGCTCTTTCAAAGAGCTTCTTCCCCATCTCTGTTGTCACGTTACAGACTCTCCATCCTTGGGGACAGAAGGGCTGTCGTGTTCTGCAATCGATCACGTCCTTGGGTAGTGCTATAGAAATAGCAACAGTAATTCAAACATCCTGAGAGATTTTATGCGCACCCCGCCCTGCTTCTGACGTCTCTCTTCCGTTTTTATTCCAGTGGCGAGCTTCGAGCGCGTTAGGGGAAGGGGACGTTAGGCCACAGACCCACGGGATTAATCCGCCGAGCCTCCACGTGCTCTTCCGAGCCTCCCAGATAAGGTTAATAAAAATCAGACTCTTCCAACGAGTCGAGGGATTAGCCATGGCCAAAAAGCAGGAGCCGGGGTTGGCCTCGGACTGCCCGGTCTGCTGGAACGCTTATGACAACGTTTTCCGGACCCCCAAGCTGCTCCGGTGCCACCACTCCTTCTGCATCGAGTGCCTGGCGCACCTCAGCCTGGTCTCCCCCGCCCAGAACCAGCTGCCCTGTCCGCTTTGCCGCTGCCTGACGGTGCTGCCTGCCAACCAGCGGGTGACCGAGCTGCCCACGAACGTCGCCGTCTTGCACCTGCTGGGTCTGGAGCCCAAGCACATCCTGCTGGAGGGGCGGCAGCTCTACCTTAAGGAGCAGCGCAAGATGAGGTACTTTCTGCGCCAACCCAAGGTCTACACCTTGGACCTGGGCATGGAGACCCAGCTCAGCACCCAGAGCTACGAGAGCCCCCAACCGGCGACCCCCACCCCCACCCCCACCGTGCCCGGATGCTCCCTCCTCCGAGAATGCATCCGGAACCCTCAGCTCCGGATCTTCACTTACTTGACGGTCATTATCTTGAGCGTGACTTTGCTGCTCGTCTTCTCCATCTTCTGGACGAGACGCTTCTTCTCAGGCTTGGGGTGAGGAGGGAAAAGCAGGGCTAGAAACTTGCTTTGGGTGGGGGTTTCTTTTTAAGGAGGGGCCTGGAAAAGGAGGAAGCTGGAAAGTATTTTGGGGAGGAAACGCCTTACCTAAAGAGCTCAGCTTCTGAATTGGGTTAAGAGGAATCCGAGAAGGTAGAACGGCCACGTTGGCACCTCTGCCCACATCCAAGGCCCTGGTCATAAGGAGTTGGGCGCTCCTCAGCTGGAAGAAATGCTGTATCGCGCTACAAAATGTGTGAATGGCAGAGTTCTTACTACACACCCTCCAATCCAGAGATCTTAAAGACTTCTGCTGTTTAGCTCAGAGATCCGTGAATTAAGGGGGAGAATTTCTTACAGAGGACCCTACCTTACCCTGATTAAAAAACGAAAAACAGGAAAGATCAAGGAGACCTTCTTAGGGAGAGGGCACAATACTTAACTGAGAGCCAAGCTCAATTTGCCTTTGTACAGAAGATGCAGGATTTGTAAATGCAAAAGTGGGTGTACGTGTGATAAATTTCCTCCATCTGGTTCACATTACACACTTAACCAGGTCCTGTATACCTAGCAGATGCATTCATCCAACATTGTAAGGTTGTTTTGACCATAGTTAGGGTTTTCTTCTTCTTTTTGGCAGCATAGTGTGTTCAGCAAACCTGGCCTGTTTGGTGTCTGATTCAATGTATGGTGTGAATCCAGACACGGGATCATTCAGCCACCGTGTCAATGCTGCCACTGAGTAAAACCAAAGGAGTGAAATTAACTTTTGGAGGGGGTGAGCATGGCAGAAAAGAACCTATCCTTGGTGCCAAACAGGTAATTTCTCCTAACGCAAACAGGTTTCTTCTCAGCCAAGACAGGGAAAAGAAGGATCTGGCTGAAAATGACCTGGCTGTGAGCTCCCATCTCACATTTTTTTCCAAACTGTGTAGCCTACATCCATTAAGTTCCTGCGCACGAGCACATAAGGGAGGGAGCAAGCATGGAGAACCTACATGAACTTCTCAACAGTCTGAAGTCCTCTGATGCCTGGTTTCTGTTAAGCCCAGAGCAATTTTTTTTTTTTAAAAAAAAAAGTGGGATTGCCTAGGGCAGGGAAGTACCCAGGAGGCTTAATTCAAACAAAAGAAAATCTGATCCGTCCTTTGTTACCGAACTCGCATTTTCTACAAGAGGCAGGGACTGGACGAAAATCCTCTGTTGAGGTCTTTTTCTTCTAGGACAAGAGGGGTCAAGACAAACACTGGTGTTTTCAGAAAGAACTGGGCCAAGGTATATTTGCAGTGAGGCATAACCCAACACTTGGGATGGGTGGGGAGAGAGAGTCTAATTCACCAGAAAAACCACACGGGAAAGACTGCTGCGTTGGTAAAATAGAACAACAGCCAAGTTCGAGGTCCATGTTTCATATGAGCAATGAAGCAAAGGCTTTCATGGATGGAGGAAGGAGGGAGAAAAGGAAGGGAGGGAGGGAAGGGGG